CAGCTGCCATCATCACATGTTTACAGACTGTTGTTAAAAGAAGAGGGAATGCTACACAGTGGCAAACACAACTCTGTGCCAACTTTGAGACATGTTGCCATCATATTTAAAAGGGCCTTTTTGCTTAAAATTCAATTTTTCTAAGTTAACACATCTCGTATGTTTTTTGTTTTACATAGAATAAAATATGGTGACCTCAATGCAGTTGTTTACACTTAGTCGCTCAAGATTTATTTATTTTTTTTGAAATTGGCATTCTAAATTAACCACAGGTTTTAACACCATTTCTCCTGATCTGTGTTTCACAACAGAGCCCCACAGACTTTACTGATATCTTATTAACTCAACTGCTTATGCTGTTCAGTATCAACGTTTCTCAAATGATACTCAGGCCTGCATGGATGCAGGTATAAATGACATCAGTTACCTGTGATGGGACCTGATCGGTCCTTAAAGACACGCTCTGAAAGGCAATGATGCATTTTCAAATGCCATCATCAACTTATCTCCTTTGCCTCATATGCTTCTAAAATCTTACAGTTCACATAATGACACACTGTTTTCAAAAATGAAATGCTACCACTGACAAGTTTAATGTTGAAACTTTGTTGTAAATTGAATGTCATATGTATAATAATTCGCTACCATAATGATGGAGGGGTTTGTGTGTCCCAAGGACCCCAGGGGCTATGTTGTGGGGGGCTTTTGCTCATGGCAAATTTATCCTAGGTGACGGCCCAGACAAAGAGCATTTCAAAAGCCCCCATCAGTAGAGGATCCAGGGAACATTTCACCCTGCCTGGGATAGGGTTACTGGGGCCCTGCCCTGGAGCCAGGTCCAGGTGGGGTGTCCGAGGGCAGGCACCTCAAGGCCAGGCCTTAGTCCAAAAAAGGGACATGGGCCTACCTGTAGGGAAGTCCCTGTTGTCTGCGGCTATATACCAAATGATAGGTCAGAGTACTGGGCCTTCTTGGACTCTGTCATCTTACTGGGAGACTTCAACGCTCATGTGGGCACGGATAGTGATAACTGGAGTCGCGCGATTGGGAGGAACGGCCTGCCAGATCTGAACTGGAGTGATGTTCAAACATGGTTAGTTATGAACAAACTGTGGTTTACACAGAAGGGTGTCCATGAGTGCACGTGGCACCAGGACACCCCAGGCTGCAAGTCAGTTTTGTAATTGTATCATCAGATCTGCGGCCGCATGTTCTGGACACTTGTGCAAACTCAGGTGTTGAGCTGTCAACTTATCACCACCAGGCTTTGAGTTGAATCAGGTGGTGGGGGAGGATGCTGGACAAACCTGGAGTGCCTAAACGTAAAGTAAGGGTGTGCTGGGAATGCCTGGCAGAGACCCCCATCTGCAAGATCTTCTGCTCCCACCTCCGGCAGAGCTCTAACAGCATTCCAAGGGAGACTGGGGTCATTCTGTCTGAATGAACCATTTTCAGCATCTCCATTGCTGAAGCTGCTTCAACCCCTGAAGCAGATGGTGGACACCGGAGGTGAAGGGAACCATCGGGCTCTAGAAGAAGTCCTATTGAGCTTAGTCAGCCTGTGGTACTTCGACGGCAGCTGATGGGTACCTTCAGGCCAAGCGGAACACAGCTCAGACAGTGGCTGAAACAGAAACTCTAGTGTGGGAGCAGTTCGGAAAGGCCATGGAAGAAGACTTTCAGTTTGCCTCGAACAGATTCTGTCAAATCGTCAGGCAACTCGGGAGGTATTACCTGCCTTGTGTAGGCAGGTAATAGGTGGAGTGCTGCTCACTTCAGCTAAGGATATTGTTGAGCAGTAGAAGGAATACTTCTAGGACCTCCTTAATCCCACTGGCACGTCTTCTGTAGAGGAAGCAGAGTCTGGGGATGAGGAGGATGACTCGTCCATCACCAGGGGTGAGGTCATCTTAATAAACATCTCCTTGGTGGCAGGCCTCCTGGGGTGGATGAGGGTTGCCCCGAGTTCCTGAAGGCTCTGGATGTTGTAGGGCTGTCTTGGTTGACACGCCTCTACGATGCTGTGTGGAGATCAGGGGCAGTACCCCTAGACTGGCAGACCGAATAAGGGAGTGGGAGATTGACGAGACACCGACAGGTCAGCAGATCTTCCTTGACCTCCAAGTACTCACTAACATGGATGTGTAAATAAAAGAGTTTAAAACTAATTGATTGTGTTTGCTAACAGCTGCATTACTCTCACATTTACTAAATACACAAACCAAATAAAGTGTTATCAAAAAAAAAAAATGGGGTGAGATTTCCCCTATGGAGGTGCGGGAAGATCTGATCGCCTGTTGGCGATTAGTTGAGTTTTATTTTTTTATTCTTTTATTTTGACCTGAGCACTTGTGGCCATTTCCCTTGATAAGTGCATCAAAACAGGGATTATACATCTGCATCCTCTCTATATGCTATCATGTGGGATGTTTAACAGGCCTTAACATACAATGGAAAGCAGAGGAGAAGCACATTTGTAACACTAGGAGATCATAAGGAGAATAATGGTCCAGTCGGCCGCTAGGACCGTGCACCTGAGCTCCAAATGGAGATAACTGAGCCATAATTTCCTAATACCTAACCAGCCTGTGCCAGGGGTCTCTTATCCTGGACCCCTCCTGATTTTGATCTGAAATAAAGTGTGAAATGAACTTTAATAGAGAATGTGTTTCGTTGACCTTTGACCTTGCCACATATATTATAGATACTGTGTATCTTATATGGTAACATTATTGAATGGACATGATTTACTATGTTAAACCCATTGAAGCAGGGTAATCAGGTCCTGAAAACCTGACCTGGGCATAAGGCCCTGACCTTAACCTTGAGAGGGCCGAGATATTAATCCTGACCCAGGATCAGTAGCCCTAAACATGACCCGTGAGGGTGGGAGCCCTAACCTTAACCATAGGAGGCATATGATATGCAACTTAAAATTAAGGCCTCTTTATTCTAAAGCTAATTTGTGGAGATAAAAGGCATGATAACCGAAATTGGATAATAAAGCCTTTAATCTTACCCTTAATAAGGACCCTTGATATAAAGTTGGCCTCAAACCTTTTTAATAGCCCCTGCAGGAAATAGTAAGTAGCCTGAATGGCCGATTCCTGAGGGTGTGGGCATTCTGATGGGTTATGTTGAAATGTAAGGGATAATCATGTTAGCTCTTCACTGACTGCCAGGCAGGTCCTGAGGGTGGAGATCCTTCCCTCCTTCTTCTTTTCTTTTTTTAGGATGATTTTAATAAAAGTTTTTATTGGAGGATTGGTTGTTTTTAAATGGTTTTTATTTTTGAGAATTTACATCTGTCCTTTTCTTATGTGTTGTGAAATGTGTTTTGTAGCCTGTGGGGAAATAGAATGTACATGATTAAGAAGGTGATTGTGGAACACTGTCATGTGACCCGTGGTGACCTATCCTGAGGAGGGCCCACACAGGTGGGCCTCAGAGTATCACTTAACTACTGTCTTGTCTCTCCTGGCCTCACTTGCGCTGATCCCTCTGAAGAAGCGACAGCAGTCGCAAAACGTTAGGGATGCCTCTCAGACCAGCGTGAGCAAAGATTTTAACTCTCCCAGAACAAGGTAATTAGGATTCAAACAGTTTTTTTAGCCCTAGTTTTTAGTGGGAGTGAAACACACTTTTGTTCTCCCATTGAGGGCTTAATTGGATAATTGAACAAGGGAGTAAGTAACTTAAGTCTCCCACTTTTTGTTTTAACTTTTTAAGTTTAACTCAGCGGAATAAGCAAATTAGCCCTCCCAATTCATGTTTTAAAGTTTTTTATTGATATTTTAAAGTGGGAGTAAGTAAACCTAGCCCTCCCGGTTTGAAGATTATCCTCTGGGGGAGAGGAAGAAATTGAGCCCCGACTTTAGGGAAACTTAATTCTTTTAACCCTTTTTCTGGATTTTAAGAGGGGAG